TAAGTTTCTAGTCTTGCAAAACTAGAGAAAACTCTTTTTTTTACTTGTTTTATTTAGATAATATTAGCATTTATTCTAATTGTTTACCATTCCCTGTGTTCGATACCCTACTTGCTTGAACTATATTACTAATCGATAGGTACACTGCATTTCGTGTGTTTATTTTGTGTCTAAGTTAGTAGGATTAAAACTAGTTTGTTTCACACACATCAGACATACACACATACACACACACACACACTCTCTCTCTCTCTCCCATCATAACAGCCTCATCTCTCACAATTCTCTTCTCCTCCCATCGAGCAAACTCTACCGAACCCCCACTTGCCTGCCTTGTTCCACCAGACCATTCTTCTGTCCACCTTTCCTTCGAGTTTCATCGTTGGATATTGCATATGTTCTTATTTCTTCGAGCCAACCAAGGTCATCGATTCTGCTGCTTTGCATCTCTCAGATCGATGTCGAAGACAGGGAAGAAAACCCCACAAAGAGTCACCGGTCTCGAAGAATCTGCATATTTGGAAGAATTCTTAGCTCATCATCCCTTTAGTAAGGATTCACACACACACACACTTACACTTTTTGAAATCGATTGAAAGTTTCTGTGTGTGTATGTATTTTTGATTGCAGCTCTCAAGGATCCGATTTAAGGGTGACATCTGGTGGTTCGGGAAAGGGGTGAAGGATGGTGTTCGATTGTGGGTGATTAAGGTGACTTGAGGAATTTATGATTTTGGTATTGCTTAGAAGAAATCACAGAGGGGAAAAAATGCGATCTTGGAAGAAGGAATGATTTTGATGATGAATTGCTTTCACAAGTGTTGAAGGTTGTTAAGTACATAAGGTGTTCGATGAATTGACAAAGAGACAAATAAATTTATACCATTGAAAACGACTCACCTTTGGCTGACCCACACACTCTGTTTCTGTTTCTTCTTTTTTCTTCTTCTTCTTCTTCTTCTTCTTCTTCTTCTTCTTCTTCAACGCCTCACAAAACTATCTGTTCTTTTACATTTTCTCCTATATGTAACGCCTGTGTTTCTGGACTTGTCATTAATGTTGATATAATAGTCTAGGTTAACCTTTGTAACCCGTTTTGAAATAATAGATATGTATTATTTTAGTATTATGTTTTTTGTGCTTAACTGTGTGATTTAATTGAATTAAGAATAAAAATAAGCGTCAAAATGAAATGTTAGATAAGCTCGATATCTATGGATAATGTTATAGTAGTTGAAATGAGGTTTCCTAATATATAAAGAATGTCAAAATCCGAGTTATAACGAAGAAGTTATGACCTGTCGAAATTTCGCGACAGAACCGGCAATGCTAAATGACGTAAAAAGTGAAATTTACGTTAGAGCGATATTTAGCATTAGTGATCTAAACGAATGTTATAGAGTTCGTTAAACCGTGAGCGTGCATAAAAGAATGCCCAAATCTGACTTCGTATGAGGAAGTTATGATTTTTTTAAGTTTCAGCTTAGCAGTATGCAGCCCGAATACTCAATTCGAGATCAAGTGATTGTTGGTTGAAACAATCTAAATGAGAATCGAAGATCTCGTTGATAGTAGCGCATTGGTGAAAAGACAGACGAAAACGGATGTCAGATGAAGAAGTTATGAATTATAACGGAGTGTTCCTATCCCGGTCTACTAAAAATAAATAATAAAAATAAAATTCAAAATTAGTCGACGGAGTCTTAACAAAAGTTGTAGAGCGTAGTCTCAGCTACGTGTGGATATAAAGAACGTCGAAAACGGATTTAGTATGAAGAAGATATGAATTCCAAAGTTTTTAAATGATTAATATTTATTAGTTAATCTTTAATTCGGATGTATATCCAAAGGAGTCATCTACCCAATCCGAATTACGCCCAGCGTAGTTGAGTACGCCCAGCGTACCCCGATGCATGCACCGCCTCGGACTCGAGTGATCCGATGACGCATGTAGTTTTGGTCACGTACGCCCCGCGTAATTGAGTACGCCCAGCGTACGTGCAAGGCTCAGCCTCTATAAAAGGCATGCGAGGGCAGCCGACTTCTTTTGCCAAATTCTCTCCTCTCTCCCCCGTTTTTCATCGTTTTACGTGCTAGAAATATCTCGAAGCCCCGGTATTAATCCTGAGCCCCGAAGCAAGTCCCAAAGCCCCGAAGATCCCGAGAAGTAACATTCCTGAGCCGAAGCTCTACCCACGAGGAGCCCGGTTTTTGTGAAGATCTTCCAGATCTACCGAAGAATACTACTTCTGCAAGTCATAGTGCTGTCCGATCATCTTCTAATCAAGTGAGTGTCTAGTTACTTTCCTCTAACGCATAATTATGAAGTATTTTATATAAAATACGTGTTATGCGTATATTTTGTTGTTATATGTGTGAATGTATCTTCACTTTCTTCTATCTCATAGATCTGATTTATTCTCTATGAAATATGTGTTATGTGTGTATGCCTCATATATTATGTGGGATATGTATTGATTGAACATGTTATACAGATTTTAAACTATGTATAAAAATATATATTTTTATCTACTAATATGTTGGGTAGAACATGGGTAGATAGTTGATGTGTGATAAATAGATGAGAGGCATCGATGTTGTTGATGTTGACCTAGTCATCTAGCGGAGTATGGATGATGACCACGGACTCTTTCTAGACAGTCCAGTGGAACGCTAGCAGATTCATAACCTGTAGGTGTTGTGAACGATGTGTTCACCGGTGTACTCTATCCCCCTCATGGTTGCCTTTAGGATATCTACTATTGAGGAAACCCCTTAGCAGTAATGTCCGTCCCGATGAAAATCCTAGATTAGGTCCCTTGAGATAGATGTTGTTTTAGGAACATAAAGTGAGGATAACGGGAACGGGTAATCGGGTTATTGTTGGTTGGTGAAAATTAAATATAATTATTTATTGTAGATTGAAAACCCAATATGCTCACTAGGCTTCCAAGCCTGACCCACTCAGTTTTATTTGTATTACAGGAAATGACGCAAAGGCATAAGATGGATGAATCATCAAGTTGTTTTGTTTACAAGTTTGTATATGTATATATTTGTTGAATGACTTGTAATGTTATCGTTTATGCTTTATGGTCTGTATCGGAACATGACATCCCTTGTTTTGATTATATAATGAAAATGCATCTCTTGATGAAATGCTTTGATAAATATTATTTTATCCTATTTTGTTTTTGGGAACAAATTCCACAAGTCTTTTAAATCAAAAGGATTTACTCTGAAATTATTATTATTAAAAAAAAAAACATAAATGAAATCAGTCTTTTCTGACCGAAATTTTAGGGATGTCACACTATATGATATTCATCACAATCTTTTCTCCTTCTCTTGCATATTAATGAACAACAACTCCAAATTAGAACCAAATCGATTAGAAGGGTCGTGTTGATGGGGAAGTGTTATCCAGCATGAGGAAGGAAAGATGGGGGTGATGGTGGGATTGGATGTTTATGGTGGACAATGGTGGCAGTCAATGGTGATGGTGGCGAATGGTGGTACCAATCGGTGGTGATGGTGACGACCACTAGTGGTGATATGTTCTTTCTTTCTTGAGAGAGAGAGAGAGAGAGAGACTGTGTGTGTATGTGTTTTTGTTGAGAGGGTGAAAGAGAAATGGTGGGCAGATCTTTTTTTTAAGTTATATATATATATATATATATATATATATATATATATATATATATATATATATATATATATATATATATATATATTAATTTAACATATATGTTTCAGCAATTAAAGAAAATTAAAAATATAAGTTATAAGTGCAAAATCGTCTTTTCAAGAGTATATGGCCTAAAAACAATAGAAAGATCTAAAATTGGACGAGTGGTGCACTAACATTTCGTTTTGAATTAAAACTACATAATTTAAGCAACTACAGTGATCATTTTTGCAATTTTGTCCAATACGAGATGAAATATCTTCCTTTACTGTACGGCATTACCACTCATGGAAAATTTGTTCGACACGTTTATATTATTTTTATCTATTGTTCCAAATATTTTACGGATTAGAAGAAGCTATTTTCAAGTTTTTTATTTTCTGATTGTACCGATATAGAAATAAATCATCTATTTATAAAATACAATAACTTTACATTGCTAGATTGCTAAGATTTTTTTATGGTTATAAAACATTTTTCAACTAATTTATATAAAATAATGGAATTTTTTTTATAAAATACAATAACTTAGGCACATTAATCTTTAGTTAGTTGAGCAACCAAGTCTTCAGATCCAACAAGTCAAACTACAGTACAAGTCAAAACAGTACTCTGTTTTTTTTTTACCTTCTCTTTTTTTTTTTTTTTTTAAGTTTTTTTAATCAACAAAAAACTCTTCAGTTTGCCCATTCTTCTCCACATGGTTACAACTGAAATATCTTCCAGGCTCTAAATAGCTAAATCCAGGGTAAATTTAAGTTTTTAGGTACGTAGTATTAAAGTCTTAAGTCTGTATTTAGTAAAATTTTGTATGGTAATAGTAATAACCAATTTAAAGAGAGTGAATTTTGGAATCCTCGTTTAATGCACAGGTGTGCTGGCCATTAACTCTCTCTCTCTCTCTCTCTCTCTCTCTCTCTCTCTCTCTCTCTCTCTCTCTAGTTTTCAGTTACAATAGAATAAGACAGTTCATATGACATAACACTCACAAAGATGAATCAATCTCGCATTCCATAACCTTCAAGCTCTCCATTTTCTTTAACCCTAGGCAACGAATATATATTATTATATATGTGTATATATATACAGAGAACAAGATTCATTCACCATCTTTGTTTTCTTCCTCGAAAGATGACAAAAAGAACATCTTCTTTGTAGTTTTCTCTATAAACATAGCATCTTCTTCATCTCTCTCCCTCTCTTTCTCTCTCATCCAAGAAGAAACTTATCGATATATGATGATTGATTATATCTGGGGTTGAATCTTTTTTGTGGGTTTATACTTTATACTCTATAGTATATGAGTTTAAAAATGAGAAATTTAGCGACTTGCTATAGTGAACATGCAATCAAGGTTTCAGATTCGTATTGTTCTGGGAATTCAAACAATATTTACATCTCTCCAACCTTCAATCCTGCAATCCAAGATGAAGTTTCAATCCTCTACAAAGTCAAACTCTCTTCACAAAACCTTCTGTTCATCACACTCACATGGTCAACTCACAACATTGACTTCGCCTTCACAATCTCCATCAACGAACCCCATTCTAACTCTTCTAAATCCTTTTGTTTGAGAAAGATCAAAGGGTCAAAAAAGCTTGAACCTTTTGATTCAAAGATTGAACTCATTTGGGATCTCTCGAAAGCCACCTATGAAATAGGTCCTGAACCGGTCAAAGGGTACTTTCTTGCAGTTTTGGTCAACTCTGAGATGATTTCCATTGGCGACATTGAAGATTTGGAGCTGAAGAAGCTTGTTTTCGATTACCCTTTTGCTAAATCTTCGTTGGTGTCTCGTAGTGAGAGGTTTTATGGAAACGCTGAGTATTCAACGAGGGCGAAGTTTTTTGAAACGGGAACATGGCATGATATAACGATCACATGCATAGCAGATGATCGAAGAGGTAGAAATTCATTGAGTTTGTGTGTTTCTATCGACAGAAAGAATGTCATTCAAGTGAAGCGATTAAGATGGAATTTTCGTGGTAATCAAACGATGTTTTTGGATGGAAATCTTGTGGATTTGATGTGGGATGTTCATGGGTGGTTTTTTGATTCAGATTCGAATATGAAATCAAGAAAAAAAGGTGGGATTTTCTTGTTTAGACCAAGAAGTGGATTTGATAGCAGATTGTGGTTCGAAGAGAAGAACTTGGAGAAAGAACAAGAAAAAGTTGGTGCTTCTTTGTTGATTTATGCTTGTAAGAATCCAGATTGATATGAAGTTTTTGTTATTAATTAACACTTACATATGAATTTTCAGTGTCAATCGTTAATCATACATGTTTTAAAACGTTGATTTTACTGGAAATTCATACAGTTACTGATTATTTTTTTTCGGAACGTTTTTTTTCCGTTCAAAAATAATTTTTTTTATGGATTTTAATCTTGTGTGAAGATGAAACAAGTGGTTAGATGTGTTGTTTAATTTGTTTTTTTCTTTGATGTGATTAATATTAATTGTGTTACCTTAAATACATGAGTATTTAATGTGATGATTTAGAATTTGATCTTCTAATTGTTTAGCTGTTTTATTTTATTATGTTTCTTTTTTGGTACAACGTACATAGACTTTTCAATAAGTCCATATTATAATATAATCAAACTTTCATACACGAAATTCTATTTTCTTGCATTCTTCCCATTTGTCTATTTTGATTCGTCTATTTTGTGGATAATTTAATTTAACTTTGCAATGACTTTATGTTTAAGATATTATCCATATTAATAGTTAAAATCAATGGGTGAGAAACCAGGTTACCCTCTTTGAGCTTTGTGAAAATAATAATATTGTGATTAAATCTTCAATTAAAGCTTTAAAATGGTACTACATAACTTACCATCTTCATCATCGTTTTTATCGTTAAATGTTACAATCTCAATCTTAATTTTAAAATCCTAAATATTAAAAACGATTTTGGTTATATTATGATCTATCTAAATGAATTCTATACTAATATCTTAAGATATTCACTATGATTTTAAAATCTTTACCAAATCTGATCCTATCTTTTTTGTTTTTAGTATAAAGTCTTGCCTAAAACAATTCTTTCATACAATTTGAAATTGAACACACATACATGTCGTAAATGACAAAAATTCTTATTATTACAATTTTATCCGTTCATCTTGAATTAGACAAAACATCATGATATATATGATGTTACGTTTTAAGTTATATATAATCACAATTATCTTGTTTTTTTTTTGTATTTTTCATACTTTCTACTTATTTTAGTGGTTTTTAGCAAAAGTAATTATGATTCTTTATTAAAAAGTTAAAGTTAATTTCACTATTAATGTATTAATCCATTTCAAGTTATAATAACAATTATACATACAAAATATTGCAAAAACAATAATAATAATATTTCAGTTGCTAGGATCTTTTGATATTACGATTACGAATTCAAAATCTTATCAAAAGTAAAACGATTTTACGAGATCATGATTTTACCAACTTTGATTTTTATTATTATTTCAGTTTTACGGAACATTAGAACGTTTAATAAAAGATTCATATTAAAGTACAATTTGTTTTTCGTGAAAAAGATTCTATGCTTAAAGGACATATTTGTTGGTTATTAGTTTCACAAATAAATTAATACAATTTGTTCAATATTTAATTTGTATAAGAAAAATGATAAACAATTTTCTCATGGACCCCATTCGTACGTGAGCAGTGGATCGTGGAACATCAACGGTTTACGATTTAACGTTGTAACAAACGTTGGGCTCTTACTGTAATAACATATTTATTTATTTATTTATTTATTTTGGGAACAATTTAATTTTATCAACTAGTAAAAAACTAAAAAAAAATGACAAAACAATCAATCAGAAGCTTATGAGAAGTATTTTTCAGGCATTGAATCTTGCACCATTTTTAGCTAAATTTCTAAACCGATCGGTAACATATTGCTTATGAATAGGTAATGAGTGTAGAATCTTGTGTCATTTTCTTTTAGCAACGAAATTACGTAAATGAGTGAAATTTAAACATTTTAGAGTTAGTTTATATGTACAACTATCAATGCATAAGGTACAAATTACCACATCATAATAGCTTTTGTTCGAGACAAAACGAATTTTATACTTTTTGTGAGGATGAACAAGAACTAAGAAAAGGTTTTCTTTTTCTTCTTGAAGGGATGATTCCATTCTCCATAAGAACTAAAAGGAAAGAAAGGCATCGATACTTTGTTATCATGTACAACCCTTATTGCACAACGTACAATTTCACCTAAGATTCAATTTCTATAACTAGCAAAAGAAAAAAAAAATTATGTTAAAAAGTGTGGAAAACCCCCAATCTATGGGGAAATTATCTAATAAAAGCTAACATTTTTTGAATTCTTTCAATATGTATTTCTACATCGGAAAAAAGCTTGGCTTTTAGAATTTAGACTACTAAAATGAGAGGTAATTTTATACGGGTAAATAGCACAAAAAACAATATGTTTATATTAAAATTTTAATTTAACTTTTTTTTTTTGTCAAAAACTAATGTATTTTCTAATTTTTTATAATTCTGACAACTTGACCAGTTAACTCAGTTATCTATTTACGTGATTTTATAACGTGTTATTATTGATAACGTGACATGCTGACATATTAAAATTAATTTTTTTTTCCTATAAAAAACACTAAGTTTTTATTTTTTTCGATTTTGACATTAAGTTTAATTTTTTTGTTTTAATTTTGACACTCTGTTTTTTTTTTCAAAATCGAACATCATTTTTCTAATTTTGTTCAATTTTGACATTTTTCCATTTGAAACCGTATAAATATATTTTTATTACATTTTAAATCGTATAAATACATTTTTGGTTTTTAAAACCTACATTTTTATTTAATACTATGTGTTTTTTCTTTTCTTTTTTTTGCTTTTACTTTTTTTACATTCAAAGAATAATCTATAAACGTGTATTAGTTATATCATGACAACCAAACTAACCATAATATTCGAATAAAATGTAAAATTTTCACAGGTTGCAAACTTAACATCTGGGTTTTGATCGACTACACGCCTCCAAACCTTCTAACTCATTTTAAAGTTATATATTTAATATGAAATATGGTTTTTATATAACTAATACATATTTATACATACAATTATGGTTTGAATGTAATTAACAAAAACGTTGTATTTATATAAAAATATAGTTTTTAAATGTAAGATATATATATATATATATATATATATATATATATATATATATATATATATATATATATATATATATATATATATGGTTTACAATATATTAAAAAAATATTTATACGGTTTCAAATGGAATATTATCAACATTGAACAAAATTAGAAAAATAATATTCGATTTGGAACAAAAATACAGAGTGTCAAAATTGAAATAAATAATTAAACTTAATATCAAAAAAAAAATAATAATAATGTGTTTTGTGGTAAAAAAACTCAATTTTCACATGTCAGCACGACACGTCAACAAAACTGACACGTGATCATGTCATGTCAGTAGGTAATCGGTTTTACCAATCAAGTTGTCAGAATTGTAAAAAATTAAAAAAAAAATAGTATGAAATTTAAGACAAAATAAAACACAATGTCGAATTAGAATTTCGGTGTAAACTTAATTTTTTTATATTATTTACCCAATTATATATTTATTTCACTAAATGATTTCTTGTTTTTTCCAATAATGATGAAAACAAATTGATAAAATCAAAATAGCGAAATCACCACAACGTATTAGTCAATTATATATATATTTTTATTCGAAATATTTATATACATAAATGTATGTATAACCAAGGTTTTAAAAAGCTCGTTATGGCTCCGCTATGGCGCGCCACGACTCCAAGGCTTGCAACTGCCGCCAAGCTTTGCCAAAACGTCACCTTAACTCATATATGTGTATAAAAATGAATAATAAATAAAAATACATATAAAAATATTAATTATATAGAAAATTGTTGTCTTAAGTCACGCCTTACAAACGTAATGACTCGCCAAGGCTCGAAAAAACTTGAGGCTTAACATTGCCGTCAAGTTACGTCTTACGTTATTTAGAACGTTGTGTATAACTATGTTTTAGATGTCACAAAGTATTCTTCTTAATGAGTTATTTTTTAAATATCCGTATTTTATTACCGCTGCACTAAATTAATTTGTACATAAATATTATAAGACGCATTGATAATTGATAAGATGTCCTTTTCTTATAATGTCAATGGATAAACACAATGTCCATATCTACGCTATTTCTTTGTCCAGCTTTATTGAGAATCGAAAATTATATCACCATTTGGAATTAAATGATGTATTTAAACTGTTCGGAATATAAAAATAGTAGTTGACCCATAAACAAGGGGATGGATCTATAAGTATTTTGAGACAACGATGGATCATCCGTTACAAATTCCATTTTGAACATGAAGTTCCAACCAACACAAGATACTTCATATAATGTCCTACTTTGTACCAATTTTATTTTACATATATTCAATAAAACCGTTAAAGATTGGATAAAAAAATAAGATAAGAAGGTCGAGATTCAAAATGAATGGTAGAGTGATAAGCTCATATCAAGATTGATGTGGATAAGTCAACAATGAACAATGCAATCTCTAAAAACACATACACCATAAGAGGTATTTGATTATTAAGTACCTACAATAATGCATGTTTGATCTTGGTTCCAAAGATGAGAATTTTGTAAGTAAGGTCTCTTGTTGAAGCCTATATAATATTTAACTTCTTCTCAATTTACCTTTTTCATATTGTGTCGGGTAAACTATTGATTGAAATGTTTATGGAAATTAACAATGTTGAAAGTTTACCCTATGATAAATACCCAAAACGATAGATGTTATATCATACCATACCATACCATAGTTTTGATTTACCATGTCATTTTCCCTTACCTTACAAAATGGTAAGTGTCATATGACACCTTACCACACATCAAATACACCTCATAACACATCAAACACACCTTAAAACATAGGCCAACATGTGGTGGCCTTACCATAGACCCAGGACCGGTTCAAACGTATATAGGGCCCAAGGCGAAAAAAAATGTCCCTCAAAGATAAATATAATAAAGACTCAGAAAAAAGATATATATCATTTATTTTTCAATTAGACATGTTCAATTAGTAATAACAAACAAACCAAATTGTTTATCTTTTGAACTAATTTGAGTTTGAACAAACTTTAGGGCTTAAAAATCAATTAGA